ACCTAAACAGCATGATAAAAAGTAGAGACATCACCCTGCCAACAAAAATCCGCATGGTCAAAGCAATGGTATTCCCAGTAGTCATGTATGGCTGCGAGAGTTGGACTATAAGGAAGGCCGAGCGCCGAAGAATAGATTCTTTTGAACTATGGTGCTGGAGAAGACTCTTGAGAGTCCCTTGGACTGCAAAAAGATCAAATCAGTCAATCCTAAAAGAAATCAACCCTGACTGTTCCCAGGAAGGCCAGATAATGAAAATGAAGCTCAAATACTTTGGCCGCCCAATGAGAAGGGAGCACTCACTGGAGAAGTGTTTGTGGGGTATTGGTGAATTTCCTGCATTGTGCAGGGGGTTGGACTAGATGTCCCTGGAGGTCCCTTCCCACTCTATGAGTCTATGATTCTAGAATTCACCCAGGCTGGCTGTGGGCACACCAGCACCTCTGTCAGGCAGAAGCACCTGAGATCCTTCCCCTCCCCTTTTCCTTCGCCCAACTTGGAGGCGAAGGGAAGGGAGAGGTGGGAAAGAATGGATCCCAGGTGCTTCTGTCTGTCAGAGGGGCTGGTGCACACTTCCGGTGATGTCAGGGGGTCTGGCATATGCTAATAAGTTATGCTAATGAGCTCCTGCATCTCTTTTTCTAAGAAATGACCCCTGCATAGTACAATGCCATAGAGTTTACCCTCCAAAGCAGCCATTTCCTCCAGGGGAGCTGATCTCTGTCAGCTGGAGATCAGCTGTAAAAGCGGGAGATCCCCAGGCCCCACCTGGAGGCTGGCAGCCCTATAAAGACCAGACCTGGATGGCCCTGGCTTGCCCGATCGCACCAGATCTCAGAAGCTAAGCAGGGTCAGTCCTGCTTAGCACTTGGATGGAAGACCTCCAAGGAAGTCCAGGGTTGCTACGCAGAGGCAGGCGACGGCAAGTCACCTCTGAATGTCCCTGGCCTTGAAAACCCAAAGTTGGCTGTGACTTGACAGCCCTTTTCACCACCCCGGCGAAAGAACAATGTACCTCTGTGGGAAGCGTAGGGGTGTGAGCTCCGGGTTGGGAAATGCCTGGAGATTTGGGGGGTGGAGCCTGGAGAGGGTGGGGTGTAGGGAGGGGAGGGGCCTCAGCAGGGTACAATGCCATAAAGTGGGGGTGTCAAACATGCAGCCCAGGGGCCGGATCAGGCCCCCCCCCCGGAGGGCTTCTATCAGACCCGCAGTGGAACCGGCAGTCTTCGGCTTCTTCTTCCAGTTCTGCTGCTGCTGCGTCATCGTAGGTTTCCAGCTTACAGATACACACCTGAACAGCACACTCAGGATTGCAACAGCACAGACCTTTTGATGCAGTAATTCAGAGCAAGGGGTGTCAGTTATCAGACACTGTTAACTAAACAAAATATTGCGAGAGTGCTGATGTTTTAAGCATGTTTTTATTTTAAGTACCCTTTGTGTTTGTGTCCTTTTATAAAGTTTATATCTCCGCTACCTGGCCCTACATTTTATGACACACACGGCCTGGCCCAACAAGGTCTGATTGATGTCAGATCCGGCCCTCATAACCAATGAGTTCAACACCCCTGCCATAGAGTGCACCCTCCAAGGCAGCCATTTTCTCCAGGGGAACTGATCTTGGTCAACTTTGATTGTGGGAAATCTCCAGGGGCCACCTGGGAGTTGGTGACCCTAGAGGAGCCCCAGTGGTTTCTGCTCGAGTCACCGAGAGAGAAAAAACTTCTCTCCCTGTTCTTTGCAAGCCGTTAATGTTTTTTAGAAGCCAATGTTCCCCCCTCTAAGCTGTGGAGTCTTGTGAGCAAAAGTTCTCCTTTGTGAGCTCCTGGCCTTAAAGTTGTGAGCCAGTGATTTGGCTGCTGCATCAATTAGTTTGCTTTGGAGCCATCCTTCCTGAGCGGAGACAGAAATGTGTGAGCCAGAGGCTAAAAAACTGTGAGCTAGCTCACACTAACTCAGCTTAGAGGGAACACTGGCATTCGCACCCCCTTGAACTCTACCCAGCATCTTAGCTGACCATCAAGGAGCCCTGGGTCAGCGCCAAACACTTGCTTTGAATCTTGAAGGTTCGGGGTTCTATCCTTGCCCCTTGCAATTCAAGGGTCACATGACTGGGGAAAGGCCCTTCTTCTGTGCTGGAGACCCTGAAGAGGCCCTGTGGGTCATTGCAGGTGACACCAAACATGACAGACCAGGAGTCTGGTCTGACTTAGTATTGCGCTCTTTCATATGTGGTGTATATTACACAGTTCACAACCAACATTTTCATGACATTCCGATCTCCATTAAATTTGTGCAAGCCCTCAAACAGGAAGCTGCTTTATACTGAATCAGACCACTGGTCCATTAAGAGCCAATTTGGTGTAGAGGTAAGGAGCATGGGCTCTAATTTGGGAGAACCGGGTTTGAGTCCCCATTCCCCCACATGCAGCTGCTGGTGCGACCTTGGGTCAGTCACAAGTTCTCTCAGAGCTGTTCTCTCAAGGGGTAGAGGTAAGGAGCACAGACTCTAACCTGGGAGAACTGGGTTTGATTCCCCACTCCTCCACGTGCAGCTGCTGGTGTGACCTTGGGTCAGTCACAGGTCTCTCAAGAGCTGTTCTCTCAAGAGCTGCCCCACCTACCTCACAGGGTGTCTGTTGCGGGGAGGGGGAGGGAAAGGAGATTGCAAGCTGCTCCGAGAGGGCAGGGTATAAACCCAGTCTCCTCCTGTAGTAACCAGGGGCCATTTTATTTGTTTAGTTGGTAAATGTAGTCATTTCCTAGCAGGAGCCCAAGATTGGGTTCTGGAGCCTGAAGGGTTGGTGTAGTGTATCAAGTCCTGACAAGTCCAGACAAGTCCAGAGACAAACATCAAGCTTAGCTCCAAGAGACAATGGACTATGCGGATCCTAGCCTGCTCCAAACGGGGGGCTAGGTTCCTGGCCAAGAAGCTAATGGGACTCTCAGCCACTGTAAATAACCTATGGGGAAGTGGGGGGGGTGTTTTGTGTGGCGGTTTCTTGAGGAATATAAGCCGGCCTGCGAGCCGGCCAAAGCCGTCTTGTTCCTGATCGAATAAAGTACGCTTTGCTGAAATTACTCTCCGTCTGCGTACTTTTCAGTGGGCCACGTGCAGCTATTAGTTGGCTACTCAGCACTGACCCTGAGGAATGGGATCTGGTGAGCCTGGTCAAGCCTAACTGGCAGTTAGTGCCAGTGGTCAGAGCTCCAGGGTGGTTGAAATGAGAGTTTTTTTCTTATCTGGGAATCAGACTTCACACCCTTGCCTGGTTGCTATAGGGAGGGTGGTGGTGTTTTTTTGGGAAAACCCTGACTTGGCTGGATGGCCCGAGCTTCCAGGGGCTTACCCTGCCCGACTGCTGTAAGCAGATTGCTGGGGTTTGTGCTTAAGAACTGCTGGGACCAACTGGGGCTACCCTATTCAGGGTAAATTAGTTAGAGATTGGAAAATTTCTTGTTTTATGCACAGAGTACGGGTACTAAAGGTAAAGGTAAAGGTTCCCTTGCTCGAAAGCCAGTCGAGTCCGACTCTAGGGTTGCGGTGCTCATCTCCGTTTCCAAGCCGAAGACCCAGCGCTGTCCGAAGACGTTTCCGTGGTCATGTGGCCGGCATGACTAAACACTGAGGCGCACGGAACACTGTCACCTTCCCACCGAAGGGGTACCTATTTATCTACTTGCAATTTCTTGCTTTCGAACTGCTAGGTTGGCAGGAGCTGGAACTAGAGACGGGAGCTCACTCCGTCATGCGGCAACTCGGGTCTCGAACTACTGAACTACCGACCTTCCACAGCCTGCAGTTCAGCGTCTTAACCACTTGAGCCACCGCAGCTCCTAGGGTACTACTTTGCCCCTAAAATAAACCATTTTGGTTACCTACCTGTTTGGTGTTGTGTCTGAGGGTCTGCAGAGGGTTTTCCAGTGGTTTTTTTCCCCCTTGGCCCTACCAATGTTGTCTCGGTGGGTCTCCGGACCTTGGAAAGGGTTGGGATCCCTGCGGAAGGTCTTAATGACAGCCAGGTTGTCCACAGCCTTGCAATACACCTCCTCCTCCTCGACTCAGACTAGCAGCTGACTTCCAGACTCTCAAGCATCGCCTACTGCCTCGTCCTTTTTAACTGGATATGCTGGGGACTGAACCTGGCGCCTTCTGCATGCCACGCAGACACTCGGCTGGTTGCCAGCCTCCAGGTGGTGGCTGGAGGACTTCTGCTATTACAACCGATCTCCAAGCAACAGAGATCAGCTCCCCTGTCGAAAATGGCCGCATCATGGCAGTGTAAAAAGGTAAAGGTAAAGGTTCCCTTGCTCGAAAGCCAGTCGGATCCGACTCTAGGGTTGCGGTGCTCATCTCCGTTTCAAAGCCGAAGAGCCAGCGCTGTCCGAAGATGTTTCTGTGGTCATGTGGCCGGCATGACTAAACACCGAGGCGCACGGAACGCTGTTCCCTTCCCACCGAAGCGGTACCTATTGATCTACTTGCAATTTCTTGCTTTCGAACTGCTAGGTTGGCAGGAGCTGGAACTAGAGACAGGAGCTCACCCTGTCTTGCGGCACCCGGGTCTTGAACCGCTGAACTACTGACCTTCCACAGCCTGCAGTTCAGCGTCTTAACCACTTGAGCCACCGCAGCTCCTCATGGCAGTGTACCCCACTGTAGTCTTTCCCCTCCACAAGCCCTGCCCTCCCCAAGCTCCACCCCCAAAATCTCCAGGTATTCCCCCAGCCGAAGCTGGCAACCCTAGCGACCGCTGACCCACTGTCCCTCCAATCTCTCCTCTATCAGGTAGGTGGGCAGGACCCCCTTGGTTTCCCTCACCCCGACCGGCCTCCCGTTACCTTCCAGGTCCAGCTTGACCATCCCGGCGTCGTCTTCCAACTCATTGGTCACCTCACACTCGTAGCGCCCGTAATCCTGCAGGGTGACGTTCCGGATGATCAGCGAGGCGTCCCCGGCGTCGTCTTCCTGCAGCGCGGTGCGGCCCCGGTAGCTCCCGAAGGCCCTGCGCTCCTTGCCCATGGCCACGAAGACGTCCTCGAACGACATGGGGTCCGCCACCTTGGTCCACTTCAGGCGGATTTCGTCGGGATCGTGGGCCGACACGTCGTAGTGAAAGCGGCAGGGAAGGATGATTGTCCCGCCACGATGGGTCACCACTTTGCCTGGGGCCGTCTGCACCACGACGGCCCCGCTGTCATCCTCTGAGGACAGAGAAAGAGGTTAGGCCTCTAAGAATTGGAACCTGGCACTCTCTCGGCCCAGCCTACCTCACAGGGTCGTTGTGAGGATAAAATGGAGGAGAGGGGGATGCCGTAAGCCGCTTTGGGTCCCCTTTAAGGAGAAAGAAGAGAGAAGAGATTGGATTTATACGCCTTTCCCTTCCCCTCCCCACAACAGACACCCTGTGAGGGAGGTGGGGCTGAGAGAGCTCTCTCGAGGACTGCTCTTGAGAGAACAGCTCTGAGAGAACTTGTGACTGACCCAAGGTCACACCAGCAGCTGCGAGTGGAGGAGTGAGGACTCAAACCCGGTTCTCCCAGATTAGAGTCTGTTCTCCTAACCGCTACACCAAACAAGGTGGGGTACAAATGAATAAAATATCCAAACAAACAAACAAAACTTGGTCTACCCAAAGGCAGAACATGGCTGATTTAAAAAACAAACAAACAGAGACAATTAGCTGTTGTAGATTTTCTGGGTTGTATGGCCATGGTCTTAGACAATTAGCTTGGGTTTTCCCTGGAAAACTTAGTTCAAGGGTTACGTGTCCCACGGTTGCCCATTAGGGCTGTTGACCTCTAAAACCTCACTCCCATTGTGATCATGATGACGTCACTTCCAGGGAAAACCTGGAAGCGATGGCGGTATCTCTAGGAATCACTAGAAACTTTATGGTTTTACCATAGATATGCTGCCCATTCCTAGAGCTACCACCATTGCTTCTGGGAGTTCCCTGGAAATGATGTCATCACACTTGCAATGCCACCCCCTGTCCCCACCTCCACCCCTCCTACCAGGCAACCCAATTGCCCATGCACAATTTAAAATGCCGGTTCTTACCTTTAAAACCATAAATGGTTGCCAGGTTCTTACCAGCTGCCAGCAGAGGGTTCCAGTGCGGAACTGCATAAGGGTTACGTGTCCCTAATGGGCAACCGTGGGACACGTAACCCTTGAACTATGTTTTCCAGGGAAAACCCAAGCTAATTGTCTAAGTCCATGGCCATACAACCCAGAAAATCTACAACAGCTAATTGTCTCTGTTTGTTTGTTTTTTAAATCAGCCATGTTCTGCCTTTGGGTAGACCAAGTTTTGTTTGTTTGTTTGGATATTTTATTCATTTGTACCCCACTTTGTTTAGTGTAGTGGTTAGGATAACAGACTCTAATCTGGGAAAACCGGGTTTGAGTCCTCACTCCTCCACATGCAGCTGCTGGTGCGACCTTGGGTCAGTCACAAGTTCTCTCAGAGCTGTTCTCTCAAGAGCAGCTCGAGAGAGCTCTCTCAGCCCCACCTCCCTCACAGGGTGTCTGTTGTGGGGAGGGGAAGGGAAAGGTGATGGTAAACCACTCTGAGACTCCTTCGGGTATTAATTTATTAATTTATTTATTTATTAAGATTTATACCCCGCCCTCCCCGCAGGGGGTAGTTGAAGGGCCGGGTATAAATCCAATCTCTTCTCTCTTCTTCTCTTCTTTCTCCTTAATGGGGACCCAAAGCGGCTTACGGCATCCCCCTCTCCTCCATTTTATCC